GCCACTGGAGCGACGTCCCTCAGCAGAGCCGACTTCTCAAAGTTCCGATTTTGTGCTCCGCGGCTCTATCACTTGCCAGAAGCGGCCGACGGAGGCCCCCTCCCCTGCCATCTATCCTCCTGAATATCGCCTCGGATTCACTTCCCCGCACGTCCTACTTTCCAGTACGTGGTCACTTCTCTGTTCAGAGAGTTGTTCCTATAGTTCTCTTCGGTCTCCTGTTGAGTTCGTAGGTGTTCAGAATGGTTTGATTCCTATTCAGCTGAATTCCTGAGACCAGACGAAATCCAGATCTCCTACTCCTCCGCCATCTTGCTCTGCCCCCCTCCCATAGGCTTTTGATTGCAGGGTGCCTCAGGGAACATGTGTCTGTGAAAGGTAAAAGGCCAGTAAATGGTGTAGTCTGGATTATATTAAACACTCAATTATGTGTGTATTCCATGTTTTTAAATGTGCTGATTAATGGAAACTTCTGGTGAAGATTTTATAAATTAGAATAGTAAATTCCTAATTCTAATTATGTCTTCCTTATCAGCATTCATTATACTATGATTTCCATAAATGCTTCCAACATGTGTTCCTAAAGAATATTTACCTCAAAATAAGTATTAACACTTCTCATTCGAGTCTCAAATTTTTGTTCAGTGGCTGAAATAACCTCAAGTTTAATTTTCATCTTCACTATGAAGTTGTGTGTTTGATAGGCAAGATATTGTCCCATGTCCCTGATGCTGGAAATCTAATTGAGAAGGTAAGTTGCTTTTAGGGCATACAGTCAGGCTTTAAATTCATTACCCAACCCACTGTTGTTTACGTCTTTGTAAACATTACATCTCTTTCACTTATCTATTTCCGTATAACAAATGACTCCAAAATTTCGTGGCTTAACACAATAATTTATAATTATATCATGATTCTGTAGATCGGAAATATGGGCAGGTCTCATCTAGATTGTTGTTCTATAATTGTTATATGGCTGAGGTCACGCTGCATTCAGCAGGAAGCTCAACTTTTAAGATAACTTCTTTTTTTTTAAATTTTATTTATTTATTTGAGAGAGAGAATGAGAGACACAGAGCATGAGAGGGAAGAGGGTCAGAGGGAGAAGCAGACCCCCTGCTGAGTGGGGAGCCCGATGTGGGACTCGATCCCGGGACTCCAGGATCATGACCTGAGCCGAAGGCAGTCGCTTAACCAACTGAGCCACCCAGGCTCCCCTAAGATAACTTCTTTTATCCTCTAGAGCCACTCAACGTGGTCTCTCATCGTTCCATAGTGTAGCCTGGTCTTCTTAGAGCGTGGCATCTAGGTTCTAAGAGACAATATAAATGCTTCCTTGTTCTCTTATAGCATTTATACTTGGGACTCTCATAGTGTCACTTCTGCCATATTCTACTGGTCCAGACAAATCAGAAGGATGGTCCATATTCATGAGAATGGGAAATAGACTCTTGGGAAGAGTGGCAAAGAATTTGTGGCCATCTTTAATCACCATACATATTAAAGTAATGGAGATATAAATGAACGATTGCCAGGATATGCTATTAGTTCAGTTATCAGAGATGGGTTACACTTTACTTAACATGTTCACATTTAGTTAGCTATGTAAAACTTCCTAAAAATTGGGATGTATGAACTATAATTCGGAGAAAGAATAACTTCAGAGGTGATTGATCATGGGCCTTGCTTCCCTTATTTCTTAATGTTTAATAGATGCCAAACAATGCGAACATGCCATAAATTACATAAATGTCAACAGTTTTATCTTGCAGGTTTAATAATAGTAAGTAAAGTTGTTTTGATAGAGGTAATAATAGACATCTTTCAAATTTTCAGTTTACATAAAGTTCTAATGGATCTCCAGAATCAGCAACTGAAAGAGTTAAATGATTGGCTAATCAAAACAGAAGAGAGAACAAGGAAAATGGAGAAAGAGCCCCTTGGACCTGATATTGAAGACCTAAAACACCAAGTACAACAACATAAGGTTAGTATATTTTATGCTATTTACTTTCTGCTGGAGAACAAGCTCCATGTACATATGTGTATTACATACACACATATATACATGCATATAGCATGGTTTACAGAGAGGAAAGAATTAAAGTTTCAATTAAGAAGAGTTTGAAAGTCTTTCTTACCTAATACTTTTTGGAACTCTTGTTTTTTCAAATATGGCATACCTTGGCTTTTCATATTTGAAAAAAAAAATCAAACGTATTCCTGGATGAGAACAATGTTAGGTATGTGATTTATTAAAGTTTTGGTTTCTTGGAAGAGGGACTCTGTAGGGATTACTTGCAATGCAAATTTAACTAATAAGACAAGATTTTTTACATGTTTTTACCTTCAATTCATAGTCTTAGAACAGGCCAAGCTTGATTAAAATGAACACCTGTAACATTGCTTTTCTATAAAATACAGAATTCATCATTTAAAATATTTCCATCTTTTTTCAGTTTATTTGAACATTTACAAATTATGCTCTTTGGTTGCCAGAAAGCACTTGTTGTTTCTGTGATTAGAATTTCTAAAGGAATATTTCTTTTTCTTTCCTTCAGCATCCATGTTTTAAATGTTAATTGACATATAACGTTGTGTAAGTTTTAGGTATATAACAATGATTTGAAATTTGTATACACTGAGAAATGATCAGCAAAATAAGTCTAGTTACCATTTGTTACCATACAGAGTTACCATACAATTTTTTTTTTTTTTTGTGATGAGAACTTTTAAGATTGTCCTGGCAACTTACAAATATGCACTACAGTATTATTGACTGTAGTACTGTGCTATATGTTACATCCAGATGACCTACTGTTTTCTAACTAGAAGTTTGTACTTTGTGACTCCCTTCAGCCGCTTGGCCCACCCCCTAACCCACCTCCCGTCTGGCATCCACCATTCAGTTCTCTGCATCTATAAGTTTTGTTTTGTTCATTTGTTTGTTTCTTTGAGCAAATCCCCAGAAATGGAATTGCTGGATCATATAGTAGTTCTACTTTTAGTTTTTTGAGAAAACTTCACACTGTTTTCCATAGTGGTTGACCAGTTTATGTTCCTACCAACAGTGCACAAGTGCTCTCTCTTTCCTTTACATCCTCGCCAACATTTCTTATTCCATATCTTTTTGATAATAGGCATTCTAACAAATGTGAAGTGATAGCTTGTTATGGTTTTGATTTGCATTTCCCTGATGATGAGTGATACTGAGCATCTTTTCATGTGCCTGTTGGCCATCTGTATGTCTTCTTTGGAAAAATGTCTGTTCAGATCCTTTGCCTATTTTAAAATCTGATTGTGTTTTTGTTGTTGAGTTGTATAAGTTCTTTATATATTTTGGATATTAACTCCTTATTGGGTATATGATTTGCAAATATTTTCTCCCATTCTGTAGGTTGTCTTTTCATTTTGTTGATGGTTTCCTTTTCTGTGCAGAAGCTTTTTACTTTGATGTAGTCCTACTTGTTTATTTTTGCTTTTATTACCTTTGGTTTAGAGTCAAAATAAAAAAAAATCACCAAGACTGCTGTCATGGAGCTTACCACCTAGGTATTCTTCTAGGAATTTCATGGTTTCAGGTCATACATCAAGTCTTAATCTGTTTTGAGTTAATTTTTGTGTATTGTATAAGACAGTAGTCCAGTTTCATTCTTTTAATGTGGTCCTGCCATTTTCTCAACACCATTTATTAAAAAGAGTGTCCTTTCCTCATTGTATATTCTTGCCTCCTTTGTTGTAAATTAATTGAATACATATGCACGGGTGTATTTCTGGGATTTTTATTATATTCTATTAATGTTTTCTCTTCTTTTTATGCCAAAACATACCGTTTTGACTACTATAGCTTTGTAATATAGTTTGAAACCAGGGAGAGTCATGCCCCCAGCTTTGTTCTTCTTTATCATCATTGCTTTGGCCATTTGAGGTCTTTTTGGCTCTATATAAGTTTTAGGATTGTTTGTTCTAGTTCTGTGAAAAATGCCATTGGAATTTAGATGGGGATTGCATTGAATCTGTAGATTGCTTTGGGCAATATGGACGTTTCAATATTAGTTCTTCCAATCCATGGGCATGAAATACCTTTCGATTTATTTGTGTCTTCAAATTCTTTCATTAGTATCTTAGTAGTTTTTAATGTACAGATCTTTTACCTTCTAGGTTAAATTTATTCCTAGGTACTTTATTCTTTCTGAAGCAATTATAAATTGGGTTGTTTTTTTAATTTCTCTTTCTGATAGTTGTAAATGTATATAAATGATTTCTGTATATTGTTTTTGTACCTTGCAACTTTACTGAATTTATTAGTTCTAATAGTTTTTGGTGGTGTCTTCAGGATCTTCCATGGATAAAGTCATGTTGCCTGCAAATAGTGACAATTATTTCTGATCAGGAGTTTTGAAGGTGTTTCATTCTAATAACCATTATAAAATTAGCTCTGGGTTTTATTGTAGGAACAAGAGCTTGCTCAGTCCATAAAGAAACACACACACACACACACACACACACACACACACACATTCACACAGTAACCTTCATAATTGGTCCAGTTTAGGCTTGCCAGATTTAGGAAATAAAAATACAAGAAGCTTAGTTAAATTTAAATTTCAGATAAGCAACAAATACTGTTTATAGTGCAAGTTTGTCTCAAACTACTCATTGTTTATCAGAAATTCAGATCTTAGTTGGCATCCTGGATTTGATCTGACAACTCTACTTAGGATTCTGTGGTTCTTGGATTTGTGGCTTTGAAAGGGAGTATCTGCTCCCTCAACTCATTTCTCCTAAATCTGCATCTCACTCAACTTTATTTTCTTTTTATAACATTTTGTCAGAGCTAGTTTCGTACTCTGCGCAGATGCAAGATACTGTTCTTTCTAAGTCCCAGAGTTCTTTTCTTATTTAATGAGCTTCTGGTTCAATGACAAATGGGGCTGGCCCTGCTTTTGCTGCCCCCACAACTGTCCTTTGGCCATAGCAGTTTACAATTAAGCAGTTTAGGCAGAGCTCTAGCTATGATCATCTCCATCCACTACACTATTTGGGGAAAAATAAAATGTCAACTGTATTCTAATTTTCATGTGAAAGTTGTGATGCAAAGATGCTAATTTGGTCATGTAGATTTTAACTGAACATCTGATAAAGAAGTTAGATCCAGTGCTAGACCTCAAACAGGATCACATATATTCATGTGTGGATCACACGCTCCCTTGGCCTGCACTGGAAGTTGCATGCAGTCAGTTTCTGTATACACTAATGGCTTCTCTGTATCTGAGGACGTTTGCTGCCACAAGAGAGTCTCAGCCAGTTTGAGGGTGGGAAGGAAGCAGTGCTGCCACACCTGCCATCAGTTAGCCAACAAGGAATGGGAGATGCTAGAAAAATCCCCCAGAATCCTTGCCCCATAGTGAGACAATTCCAAGGTGTTTCTTAATTCCCGTAGTCTCTCAAAGGTTTCCCAGCAACACTGAGCCCCAGGTGTCCATGAGGTAAACTGTCTCACATTCCCACTCTCATAATGCCTCCTGAGATCACTTCCCAGATAAACTCTTTGCACCCAAACCCTTGGCTCAAGGTCTGTTTGGACAGGAACTCAACCCAAGACAACCTTCTTGCCCTGGAAGCCGGAGTACTCTTCAGCTTTGCCACTAACTAAATGTGTAATTTTCAGAAATTACTTAATTCTCATGTTCTCCACATTTTCCCATTGGAAATAATGTCAATTTTAATGTTTCCATTAGTTTTAGAATGTGAAGCTTTTCAGGAAAGGGCAAGACTAAAGCTGGTAAGACAACATCAGAGGGAATGATGTTGGCACTGGATGCCTGGAGTATGAGGAGGAAGCCAGGAAGCCAGGACTCCAAAAGGGAAGTGGCAGAATAATGTGAGGCTAGCCATGAGTGTGAATGACTTAGGGCAACTGCAAGGAAACGTGTCAGCTTGAAAACCTGAACAGACCCTTCATTCAGCATAGACAGGCCATCTAGGATCTTCATATTCTGACAGTTACCTGAAATGTTTTGCACTTTACTCTGGAAGATACAGAGTGAATGGAATGGAAAATATTTGACTAGTATTGTCATAAAATTTGAATAGATGGTCCATTATTTGAAAATGTGCCATTTCTGATGAATATGAAAGTGCTTTGAAGAGAATAATTTGAAACAAAAAGCAACAGAATTATATGAAAGTTGATTATGTAATCTTTTACATCCAGGACTTACTCATATAAGTGCATAAAAAGAAACAGAATTGGTTTGCTGGCCCAGAGATTGAGTCCAACTTCTACCTTTAACTGTTTAAACCCACTTCAGGCCATATTATTTTTTTATAAAATTAAAATAAGGGAAAAACATAGCTAAGAGAAAGCCTGACAATTGATAATACTCTTTTGTTACTTGACATAATTATGGGGAGAAAAAAATGATTTAACAAAATCAAACAATTTATAAAGGAGTTGAGTTTATTTATTTATTTTTAAGTTTTTACTTAAATTCCAGTGTAGTTAACAAACAGTGTCATATTAGTTTCAGTTGTACAATATAGTAATTCAACACTTCCATACAACACCACGTGCTCATCACAGCAAGTACACTTCTTAATTCCCATCACCTATTTCACCCCTCTCCCGACCCACCTCCCCTCTGACATCACTTTGTTCTTTATAGTTGAATTTATTTAAATGGGAAACATTTTCTTAAAAGTACACACTAAAAGGAGTACATTTTTTGTTGTTATTCTTGCCATGCTTCATAAAACAGAAAAAGACAAATGTTCTCTCTTTAGGTAACTGGGTTCAAACTAAAGCCTGATTTAAGTAGCCACTGATTCACTTTGCCACTTTTCTTCCCAAGAATTGTAGGTGAATGAAAATAAGGAAATTTCTCCTGACAACAAAATACATCACTAACCTTGGTACTGAAAAAAGCAACTCCACCCAGCTGCATCACCACACTCCTTACCTAAGTTAACATTTAGGGGTTTTAG